GGAGACTCACCACGAAGCCCCCACACTCCGCTTCCAACCTCGCCTTGTACACCCTTGTGGGGAAAGGTAGAGGTGGCTTGTACTCAGCCACCAGAGATGGCGTTGGCGATGCCTTCCTTGCCACTTCTTCCTCTCCCTTCGAGGGCTCCTCATCTCCATCCTTGGGGTTGAAGTCTTCCTTCTTAATCACTTCCTTAGCAACAACTCCCGGAGTCACTTTCCCGCTGCTCAAGTAAATTGCATTACACCCAACTTGATCTTTTGGGTTGGCAATGGTTTGAGAGGGTTTGGCTCCCTTTGGTGTCTCTGTGAGGATCCCGGCAAGATTGCCAATTTTCACCTCCAAATTCGAAGGCTTGCTTGATGGCTTCGGAGTCCCGCCTCAACCGAGGTAAACTTGGTAGTTGCCACATCCATAAATTGCTCAATCTTCTCGAACTTATGAGCACTCGTGCTCACAAAGGTATTAACAAGGTCTTCATGTTTGGATAGTTTGTTGGGTTGGTGTTGATGTTGAAACCCTTATCCACCTTGTACTTGATAAGGTTGTTGGAAGTTCGAGCCTTGAAATTGCGGCCTTGGTTGAATGAAGGTTGGCCTATGTTGGTAATTTCCCGTATGGCCTTGGAAACCGGGGGTCGCGGATTAGTCAAGGACAACCAAGCAAAGTTAGGATGATTTTTCCACCCGTGGTTATAGGTATTGCTATATGGGTTGTTCCCCCTAGCATTGGCAAAGAAATTGACTTGTTCCTCCGGAGTGTTTGCTTCCTTCATTGCTTGACATCCGCCAACTCATGGTTCGTGCTGGAACACCAATCACACGACATCAACGCTCTCTTCTCGTGCTTCTTATCCTCGAGAATTACCTCGATCAACTTATTGAGTTTTGCCTCAAGTGGAGCACTCGTTGCCACACTTCTTACTCCTCTTTCGTTGCTTCTCTTCCCACTTCTCGTCAAACCACAATCATAACCTTTAAGGGCCATATCTTCTAACATTGTGTCACTTGTGGTAGGGTCATATTCATCAGCCTCCCTTGACAAAGAGAATAAATGAGGATCTTGTCTTCATGTATGAGCCCTCCATAGAAAGTTTCAATTCGGAATTGTTCTTCGAACCCATGGTGAGGGCATTGAAGGAAATAATCGGAGAATCTCTCCCAAGCATCCCTCAAGATTTCATCTTCATCTTGCTCGAAATGGGTGATATTCATTTTCCACTCGGCCGTCTTCGAAGGCGGCAGTAGCGGGTCATAAATTTGTTGAGAAGATCATCCCACGAGGTAATTGTACGAGGTGGCCGGTTGTTGAGCCATCTAAGTGCCTTCCCCGCAGGTGAGTAAGGGAAAAGCCTTAGTTGAAAAGCTTACACCGGCACGCCATTAATCTTCAAACTCCCTGCGAGCTCAAGAAATCGTTGCACGTGCTCCCTCGGTGATTCACTTGTGAGCCCATGGAACAAAGCATTATTCTGAATCATTGTCACGAGGGCCGGCTTAATCTCGAAATTGTTGGCCGCCACGGGAGGGTGTAGGATAGGCGACTGAATGTCAGCCGGTCGTGGGGCCATATAATACCCCATTGTCCTTGGGGCTTCCTCCTCGGCCGCCTCCTCATTATGGTTGTGAGCGTGGGCGGAGGCTCCTTCCCTTTGATTCTCTCCCATCTCAACTCCAATATCAACTTCTCCTTCGACTCCTTCAACTTCTTCTCTGCTAACTCCGGGACACAATTGTTGTCCTCTCTCTTCACTTCTCCTCCTTCGTTCCGGTAACTCCCTCTCCCAAGATAGGAGCCGGAGAGTCCGGTTGATGTTCTCGTCAAGCGGTACTAAGGGCGTTGGATTGCTCCGGGTCATGCACCTCCCTGCACACACTTGGAGAACAAAACCACGTCTGGCACAAGCAAAACACTCAAACAAACAAAGCTGTAAATTAAAAGCTAGATTAACACCAAACAACTTTTTTAAGATAACGGACCGAAGTTTCCCGGCAACGGCGCCAAAAACTTGACTCATCCCGAATATCACAATAAATTCCCACCTAAGGCTCAAGTATAAACCTTAGATGGGTGCAATATAGGGCAAGTATTTTTAAATATAAACCCGGGCCGACCCGTGTACCCCTACTTCCGTTGTTTTGAGCATTATCTAGAAAATTGGTTTGGTTGAAAACTATGAGATTTAAATCAAAACAAAGCAAAGGTAAATGGTTTGAAAGCTCTAGATGAGAAGGATCACTCGGGTGTCGCTTCCCCCTAACTACTACCATGGCACGTGGACTCGAATGGGACGTTATGGGCAAGGAAATCATGAACCGCTAGGAGGTGCAACTATGGTCGAGGACCACACTCTTAATTTCCAAACCAAGGGATACATTATAGGCTACAAGAGTAGCCCTCTTGGTTAAGGAAATTAAGGGTTGACTTACCTTCTCCCTCAAATCGATGGTTGGACGTCTTAATCATGATTATCCTAGTTGCTTAATTCAAGATAGAGGTTTGCCCTACATTAACCTAGGTAGGTGGCTTGTCAAGCCTAAGGAATCCCAACTCAATTGAGCCTCTTTGAGAAAGGGGGGTTTCCCCTCTAACCTAGGTTAGAATGGCTAATTAAATTTCTAAGCACACACATGCACAACCATCATGAGAAATACCTCAATCAATAAATTAAACAACACCCATAAACAATCATTCAAGTCACACTACAACTACATGGCAAATATTTAGTGTTTCACATCACCCAAATGAAAAAGAGTACTACTCCATGCTAGAAAGGGGAAGAAATCAAGAGAAAGAGGTAGAAACCACCATGGTGATGCCTCCAATCTCCTATAAGCTTGTGTTGATCTTCTCTTGGGGAGATTCTTCCCAATTCACCACTTGGAGCAAACCCTAACCTTCCTTCTTCCTTGGTTCGTCCTTTCTCTCTCTAAAATCTGAAGAAAAAGAAGACACTTTCTCACACTTGGGCTCTGCGTCTCTCTTCCTTTCAGCTCACCCTTTATACCAGGACCGGGCTCAGTTCACGGCCGTAAACTCTTCAACGCGTCCATAAACACAGAGGGTGATGTCGAAATGCACCGCTTTTCCATCAGGATTTCACGGTTTGGCCTCAATCTTCACCCTCTTTGCCCGGTCTTTGCCCCTTTTCATCCAACTTTCAATGGTCAGCACCATCTGGCGAGTTTATGTTAGATGAGTGAATGGGGGCCTATAGTGGTCGAGGCGACCAAACCCCTGCTACAGGTAGCCTTCCTAGATGAAACCTCAGTGTGGACGGTGGATAGTGTCCATAGAAATGAGCCATAAGCTTAATGCCCCAGAAACGATAGTCTAGATCGAGGTGAATGAAACCTGGGTTTAGTGGAGGCATACTCGGAGACATGTGAATAAAGACGAAGGCCCACGGAAAATAGCTCACTCACAACATTCGATTAACCCTACATCACAAAGTCAGATAGGAGGATTCGACCCTTGGCAACCATCTCATCTCTAGCGTTCTCCCAACCACCTGGTTGGTTGTTTATTTTGCCTTAGGAGTAGGTTAATTTAGTCAAAACCCTCACCAAACTTCCATCCTGATTAGATAGTAGCTCAGAGCAAAGTAATAATAAACTTAGGGATCCCTCGAAATACGACCGAGCCGCTTTACTAAAACTCTAGCTAGGTTATACATGGCTTAGTTAAGATTGAATAGAGAGTGTGGTTCGAGTTTATAAATTTAAAGCTCGATCGCGCACAAAGCACGATCAAGTTTTTGGCTTGCACTTTCCCACGATGAAGAAGGATACTTCGAGGAGGATTGAGTCTAGGCATCCAGGGCCTAAGTTCTATCTTTTCGTTTTCCTTGCTTTTCTTTATTTAAATTAAAACAATGTTTAATTATCACTTTATTTTCATTTTACCTTTCATACCTTAAATATTGTTCTTTGTTAACTAGTAGTAATTTGAGTAGGTATAGTACTAGTTCTTATAAAAAGCATTAATCAGTACTAATTAAAAATACTAAATCATTCTAAAAAAAATTACTAAATCTCTATTAATGTCAATACAATTACTACTGAAAATCATACAATCGCTATTATAAGCCACTTAAATCACCACTAACTTAAGTAGTACTGGTTTTAAATAATTTCAGTAGTGATTTTTCCTGTACGAAAATCTAATGCGAGAGATTTTAAAGTTAATATAATTTATTAATTTTTCTCAAATACCCAACAAGCCCATGACTACTCCCCATCGTTAGATTAGACTTAAAAACAATGAACGGTGACTAGAGTAGTTAGAACGGTGCCAACTCTTACAAGGTTAGCACCCTAGTCGTTCCCTTGGTTCATGGCCCTGGTATTATCCAGTAACCAATTCTCCGGCCCGATTAAACAATGCATCTCAAACATCTCCACTCTGGCATTGCTGGACTTGTCCATGAACCAACTTTTAGGGGAGCTATTTCAATCCCTCAGTCAACGTCCTTCCTCGTCTTCTCCTTCATATATTGACCTTTCCTCAACATCTTCCATGGTGAAATATATGTAGCTTATGTCAGTCATCGCTACATATTGGAGTGCTTGAGCTCAGCCACAATTAGGGATTTGGAAATCGCAATTCCGACGATCATGGCGGCATGCATACAGCCTCGATTGTCGTCGTCGGTTACATTTAAAGTGTAGGAGTGACATGTGGAACTATTAGGGATTTGGATACGTGTACTATGGGACGACGACTAGAGATTCGAAAGAGTCAGCAGCTATCTTGTCGGCAAAAGAGTGAACGACAGACTACGTGCAGAGAGGAGAGAGAGGTGAATCCGACAGAAATATAATTAATTAATTTTTATATTTTAATAGCTGGAAATGAGGTGAAAAATATTTAAAAAAAATTATTTATTTATTGTTATGCCATATTTAACAGTCAAATATAAGAGTTAACTGCCATATAAGTAAACGTTAACGAAGTTGTATGAAAAATTATCAAACTTGAAATATTTAACTAATTTTAATGACCACCAATGGAATTAAATACTTTTAGTGACAAATAAATAACCTTGCAATTTACCGAAACTAATCTGTAAACAATCTCAAATACTACGTCTTTGGCTTCAAAATTCCTCAAGGATAAACAGTAGCTACAACATAGTTATCAATCTATGAAAGAACCAAAGGAAACTATCTTTGCTAATATCAGTTATAGTAGATTTGTTTAAACCAAATACTCGGTCAGAATAGAATTTGACCACACAGCAAGGCAAAGGCCAGCAACGTCAGAGGCACGCCGCAAAATGCTAGGTCATAGTTGAGCATCACGAGTTGCATACTTGAAAGTGCTTTCCTCCACAGGATCCTTAGATGCAGATCCACTCCACAAAGATTTAAAGAGCAACATATTATTCAGTCGGGAAGAATCTGCTCTCCATCAGCATCAGCTTCAGTCTCCACCTGTGGCTTGGATGGACCAGCCCCAGGGGCCTGTTTCTTCTTGATTCCACTAACAATGTCGTCAATCCTCAAAAGCATGCAAGCTGCTTCTATCGCCGTCTTGAATGTTTGCGCCTTCACGTTGTAAGCATCCCATATCTGATACAACCATAAAGTTATCAGATTTAATGATTTATCATAATCAACACTTATATGTCTATTTATAAAAGCTCGTTAAGCAAACAGGAAAATCTAGATCTCTTCCCCAAAGAAGTTTCAAGGAATACCCTCATAGAATAAAATTTTCAGAGGCCAAATTTGTCATCTGTAGGGTATGCATGCTATTAAAAAGTGATATAACGAGTCTGGCCAATTGGCCAAAGGGAACTTGACAATCTGCAGGAAGAGGTGTCCAAATATTAAAATATTCTAAGAAGGCACAAGAGACGGATCTGAAACCCCATACGCACCTTCCTCTCTTTCATGTCACTGATTTCACCAGTGTTCCCATCAATGCCAGTCCATGCATTCTCTCCATTTGCATGCTGAATCTCAAGCGATCGAGCAAAATTAACAAAACATTCATTGATATTAAAATTAAAGATTCAACACTTTAATTCACAGATCGGAGCAGGGGCTTACTAGTCCTTGCAACTCGGTCATTTTCCGGATCACATTAACACCACAGTTTTGGGCCAAAGTTCGTGGAATAGCCTCGAAAGCTATAGCAGCTGCTTCATAAGGCCACTGCGATACAAACATCAAAAGGCCAGAAGAAATCATTAATCCTGAATCTATCTCAAAAATTTCATGTCACCACATTAGAGTTCTAAGTACCTTTTCAATGCCTTCAACAGAAGAACTCTTCTGCTTTAGTGTAGCAGATACAGTTAGCTCAGTAGCACCGCCTCCAGGAACAAGTTTTGGGTTCTTAAGTATGTTTCTGGCCACAGCCATAGCATCCTGTATAATAAACATAAAATTCCTCAAAATAAGAAAAGATTTTCACATTGATCATATTAGAAGTAAAACGACAAACACGTCTTGATAAGTACCTGCAAGTTCCTTTCCACCTCGTTTAGGAGATCCTTGCTAGCACCTCTCAAGAGAACCGTACAAGCCTTTGGGTCCTGGCAGTCAACAATGAAGGAGAAGAACTCATCTCCAATTTTCTTAACCTCAAACAGCCCAGCTGCGGTACCAACATCAGATTCTTGCAACTCGTCAGGTCTGTTCACAATAACAGCCCCACATGCCTTTGCAATTCTGTTGTTGTCTGTCTTCCTCAGCCTTCTGATTGCACTGACACCAGCCTTGCTTAGATAGTGGGTTGCCAAATCGCTAAGACCCTTCTCCGTGATCACCAAATCTGGTTTAAATTTTAGAATTTGAGAGCAGATATTCTCAATGTACTCCTCTTCCATTTTCAGCAGAAGTTCCCAGTCTTCTTCTTTAACCAGCTCGGCATTTGTCTGGTTCTCACCTTTCTTGTACTCCAGTGGACAATCAAGAAGAATGATACGTGGATTAACAATCTTTCTCCTCATTTTTCCAGGGGCCACCACATCTTTGTTAAACATAACGCCTTTCAGAACTCTGGATTCCTCTAACTGGCTGCCAGGAACCTTCTCAACCTTGATATACTTCTTGATATCCACTTCACGCAGACCTTGGCCGAGGTCAACACCAACAGTAGTGGTAGCATCAATTGCAAGATCCTTGAAATTTAAGTTATAAAAATAAATTAACACATTAAGTATAGGAAATGTCATTTGAAGCTGAAAACATGAGAAAGAAATATCACCACATACATTATTAATATAGTTGTAGATCATCAAAGCATAATCCTATAAAAATAAGTCTTGCTCAAACACACATGTTACAACAGAACTCGGAATAGAATTAAGGTTTGTGAGAAACATACAGCAATCAAGTCTCCAAACTGACTGGTGAATTTCGTGCCAATACAGCTCTTCACAAGGCTCAACATTGTTCCACCTGTCACACATTCACAAGCCATTTAATCAGAGACACGGCCAGTAATGTATCACTGATTTCCCTTCTTTAATTAATATATCTGCTTTGCCATCAGAAAATGAAAATTATTACACATTTCTCTCCAACAGTATATACATCACATACTGCAATATGCTCAAAGACATTGGCAAAACATCACTCTGTGTGCATGTGCAGTAGAGCTTAGCCACATAGAACCAAAAATGAAGTGTTCAGACAGAACACAACATAAAGAAAAACTGTTCCGAAAGAACAAAATGCAACAGGCAGCCAATCAATAAGCAGTATTAATAAATCAAACCTATAGCAACTTACGGTCATTCACATCAATCGTCATAGCAATTTTATCCAGCACAGCAACAGCATCCTCTAGAGCTTTGTTGTATGCTGTGAAAAATAGTAAATAAATAAAAATGTGATCTTCACAAAACTACTCGCATCTGAATAAGCCACCTCAATCCTTTCACATACCTCGACATATAACTGTAGGATGATATTTTTTGTCAATGAAAGCTTCTGCAACATGTAGCATCTCCCCAGCTGCAAAATGAATTTTATACAAGAATTATTCACACGAATACTACTGGATTTCACCAATATCAAAGAGGAATTTTAAACTCTACCAAGAACAATAACAGATGTCGTTCCATCTCCCACTTCTTCATCTTGTGTACGGCTCAACTCAATCATTGACTATCAAGAACGAGGAGTCAGCACAAAATTAGCCAAATAAGGTATATCTACTGATAAAACTGCTGGAAAAAACAGCAGAGTACAATAGGACTCGATAGTTTAATAACTAAATACTGTGGAGAAATGACATTGCAAACTATTGTTACTAGAAACAAGGCAGAGACTAAGTGGGAAACAATAATCACAAATGAATCTTTATGCATGCAGGTCTTTGGAAGGGCATGAACTAGTATCACCACTATGTAAAAAATTGATGTTAGAGGAGTCAAAGCGGGCTTGTACCTTTGCTGCTGGATGAGCTATATCTAACTCACGCAAAATTGCATTTCCATCATTAGTAACAACAATTCCTGTTATCAAAGAAAAACATCAGTATACTGCAGCAAAAACTCATCAACTCCATAGAACTATAATATGAGAGTATTTTATGAGCTAGGCAAATAGGAAAAGTAAAAGGATAAAGCTAATTCAGTATGTCTTAAAATGAGTCCCATCTACAGGAGATGCAGATAAACATGAACTAAATCTTTCACATTTGGAGGGATCCCTCCACTTTTCAGATCAAAGGAGTGATGAGGCATGCGTATTAAAAGGAAACACAAGTCAAAATTGTGCTTTGTGAATGTACATAAGAGAACCTCAAACAAGCAATTAGCTCACCTCCAGAAGCATCAAGCAGCATCTTCAACATAGATCGAGGGCCCAAGGTTGTTCGAATAATATCAGCAACAGCCTATAAACATATTTCAGCCCAATATGTTACAAACCATACAGAAATATAGTTCGAATGTATACAAAACAAAACAATAGAACATAGCTACCAAGATATCAGGTGCAAATCATGAAAATCCAAAACCAGAGAGTGTTAAGTAGAGTGGCTCAGAACACAACATTTCATCAACTAGAGATGGAAAATCTAAAGAACATTTACATCTCTTGTAAAGCTTGGCATCAATGAATTGAAGACATCAAGAACTAATGAGAGTCACCCAGAAAACATTCGACGGTACCGTTACCTTTGAGGCCTGGATATTAGCATGGTGGACCTTTTGTCCAGACTCGCGTTTCAAGGAGTCATCTGTTGGGAATAATCATCAAATCAAACAATGTGAATGTGTTACTGCTCATCCAAAAGCCTCCCAAGCAACAAAAAGCACAAAGATAAATCTCGATCCAGTGTTGAGATGGTAGAGATCAGGCCCATTGTTGGTCCGCGAGAAGAGTCTAAATAGAGTATATAAGAAATTTTCAAGCTAGAGAGAGCAGTCTTACTGAGAACAACAACTTGAGTATGCATCTTTTTCTGCTTGCACTTCTTCTTTCTTTTCTAACTACAAGAGTGGGTCAGAGTAAATAGGCATGATTCAGAATGGTCCAGAAAACGAAAAAGAAAGTGAAACCCTAGTATAGTAGGGAAACGAAATCAAGGTAAAAGCAGGTTACAAGCACCTCAGAGCTCGCGATTTTTGCCGTCAAAACAGGAACCCCGGTGCTTCCGATTCTACTGTCAATATGCGCAGCAAGAGTGGGATGGTATCTGGGCAGAAGCGGCGGTGTGGAGATCGAGAATCTTCTCCCACCGAAATAGATCTCCCGCGCCTCTTTCCGAGGTTCCCTTTGCCAGCTTCTTCACGGTAAGAACCCTATGCGTGTGTGTTAATAGATACCTTTTTAGTGTGTTTGCTTACCTTGTATATACTAGTAACAAGCAATTTCTACTGACCTGAGTTGCTGAGCGGGAGGTCGGAGCTGGCGGAGGTTGGAATTAGAAAGAAGCGGGGGGATTTACCTATTTTAGGGCCGGCGGTGGAGAAGTGAAAGTGGGGTTTTGGTAGGGCACTACGGGAAACCAGAAAACCGCTATGTTAACTTGCATTACCAGCCTTTTCTACTAGCTTTGAGCCCAGCCCGTTGGCCGAAAAGTGGGTTCTTTTTAAAATAATATATAGTGTGTACTTTATGATAATATTTAGGCAAAATACATTTGTATAGTCATAACTTTTACGTTTGTGACAAATATAACCATAATTATTCGAAAACCAAAAATAGCCCAAAAAACTGAGGGTAGTGTGACAAATCTAGCCAAATCCGTTAGAAACTTTAACGGTGTTAAAACCTCCGTTGGTTAGGTTAACGTTAGGCTGATTAGAATGCCAAATCAACACCCTTGTCAACGACCAATCATCATATTATTGCCACGTCACTTTGAGTTATAAAAATAATTAATTTTGAAATTAAAAATAAATATTTTTTCTAACTTTTCCCCTTCCCTTTGCTGTGCATTCTCTCTCAACCTTCCTCTGCCATCGTTAGATCTTAAAAAAAAATCTCGATCCCAAAAACCCAGATCAAGAACCCTTCGTTGATTTCCCAAATAGCCTTTTCCCGTCTTCCCAACTTGTCTCGCTTGAATCCTCCCCCAACTATAACAAAAAATCCCAAATCCAAACCCAGCCTTCCTTTCCCCAAAATCCCTCCATCATTCCGACGCAATCTTCAATCCGTCTCCCCAAACCAGATCCCGGCGATGTTTAGTCGCAACAGAAGTGGCCGTCGACGCGAGCGCCGGTAGATCCTGTCGCGGTCCAGCTCCTCGTCGCGTCCGCATCATCAGAGTCGAGGATCGGTAGATCCAGTCGTGCTTAGCCCGGTCAAACCTTTACTCCGGCGACCACGAAAGCTCAGTCATAATCGACCTCCAAGTCGCCGCGTCGACACAAACCCGACCTCTAGTTTCGAGAAGAACGGGAGCTCCAGCCGACGAATCTGATTCGTCCCCGCCGTACGTGCTCAGCATGCTCGACCCAGATCAGGCGTCGCTCTGATTCGAGATTCAAACTCCCTCAACATTTATTGTAGTCGATGCTTTTGGTGGTCGGGGGTTTCTTACGACGACGTTGTCGCTTCTAGAACGGCGGAGGGCAGGGGGCGGGGGAGGCGTGGACTTGGACTCCTTATCGGATAGGGACGAGGAAGTGGGGAAGGGCGAGCGGGTCTTCATCTTGAAGTGGATTTGAAAGCAGAGACCGCCATTGCTGGGTGTAGACGGAGGAGCTGAGCTCACCCGATTTGGGAATTCCGCTAGAACACCTTGTTGGATGCTGCAGAGACTAGGCGAAAATCAGGAAAGAGTATGGGTTTGGGTACAAGGAACTTTGGATCTTTCCTCTGTGGCTGGAAAAGGAATTAGCGGAAGAGGATGAAAATGGTTTATGGTTTTTTGGTTTATGTTGGGCGGAGAAGGAATTAGTGGAAGAGGAAGAAGAGTATTTGGATCTGGGAAGATGTACAATAGGAGGAAGGGAGAGGGGAGAACGATATTAGATTGCAATTTTTTGTTTTTTTTTTGTTTTTAAACTAAATTATGAGATAAATAATGATTTTTTATATTTTAATTTTTTTTGTTAATCCACATCGGCTTGGTGGGGACCATAAATCGCCAACTCAGCATATTCCGTCAGTACAGTCAGATTGTTAAGTAACACCGTTAAAGAGATGGACGAAATTGGCTATTTTTGGTTTTCGAATAATTATGGCTATATTTGTCACAAACGTAAAAGTTATGGCTATACAAGTGTATTTTGCCTAATATTTAAGCACGCATGAAATAGTTGTGTATTACTAACATGTAGTAGAAAATTAAACTGTGGTATAGTTTAGTAACTAAATAGAATAATAAATTGCCCCCTAAATTATAATGGCATATGAGTAATTTGTGTATGGTGGTTGAATTAAATGATATTGATATAGTTTAGTAACTGGAAAATAGAAGCGTGACTCGTGAATATATGAGTGTAGGAGTGGGTATGTGAGTGGTTAATTCGCAAGTTGATATCGATCCTCCCGCAAATAACCCGAACCGCAAGCAGTAGATGATATGATGCAAATTATTAGTTAATATCCATTAGATATCGCGATGTAAAGTATAAACTATTAATTGTATAAAAATCGAAGAATGCGTAAATTTTCTCTACACAATTGGTTGATAGAGTAATGAAAATTTTGATGCTAATTAGGAATGGCAATAGGGCAGGTCCGGGCCGGGTATGAGTATCGAGATACCCACCCCGTGGCAAGTCGAGTCCAGCTCGGGTAATTTATTATTGGGCACGAGTCGGGGGCAGGTTGACCCAATAGGTATGTAATTTATGCGAAAAACCTTAAAAATATTCGTTATTTTCATTAAAAACCCAAGAAAGAAACCATAATATGATAAAATGTAGTTAAATTATTGGAGAAATTGGGGTTTTCACTTATTTACAATTTTATTATAGCTAATATATGATGTAATAAGAGGAAAATCCTAAGTAATTTGATTCAGGATTACATGTAATTTAGGTAAGAACGGGTTGAGAATGGGGCGGGTTAGAGCAGGTCGGGTCGATGAAAGATACCCATGTCCGCCCCAAAACAGGCCAAACAGGTCAGGTCAAAATTTTCATTCCTAATGCTAATACTACATGGACTCACATGAGAAAAAGTTGGAAGTGTCTAAATTGATCAGTCTTACGATTTTGCTAGAAACTTATTATAAAGGGTAAATACAATATAATAGCCACACATTTTGTTTTAAACAAAATAATAGCCAAACCTTTCTGAAAACAATTTAATAGCCAAACCGTCAACTTTCTGTCCAGTCAAATGTTAGTTGACTCTGACTTAGCAAAATTTTAAGTGAGATGAATGGTTTTTTATGATGTGGCAAGAAGTCAAATGTTTGACCTTGCCACATGGATATAAAATAAATTTATAAAATAAATAAAATTAAATATGAACTTCAAAACACCGCCTCCGCCACTCCACTCCCCTTCCCGTCGATCGTCGACCATCTCCATCATCAAATCCCCTGTTTCTGCCTCCCGAGACTGCAGGAACCCGCCTTCCAACAACCATACATATTCGTCCAACAACAACATGAACAGCTTCCCGCGCCCCGCCTCCCAAACAACGCCATCTGCATCCACCTACACCGAAAACGGCTCTCGATCCTTACTTTTTTCTCAGCTTGAGTCTCAGCGGCAACGATTGTGAAATAGAGCATGAAACCTACAAGTCAGATAACGGTGACGGAGATCCCGATGATGGAGGTGAATCGGAGGTAACCCAAAGCGTTGAAGTTTTTGATGACCTTGTTGAACGCTGAATTCCGATCTATCCCCAGGTACTTCCCGTTGGTGTGATTTCAATGTCAATTTTTCTTCCTCCTGTGGTTTCTCTCACTTCAGTCGATTTCTCTGTTCTTCAACTATTGATCCAGAAAATGCTCGAACCAGTCGTGAAAATGGAGAGTTGAGAGATTAGAGAAGAACCCCCATTATTTATTCGCACCGTTGCACACCCACCCCTCCCCCGCCACTTCAGTTCTTGATTTCATCAATGCTCTCTTCCGGCGGCATCTCTCTCTTCACTCGATAAGGGTGGGTAGATTTGAATTCATTTGCGGAGTCAATTGAATTTGGGGAGTTCATATTGATTTTAGCGTTGGAAGGAAGAAGGCGGCCCCATGCGATTGGGAATTGGGGATGAAAGATTCCTAGTTTCTTTCATTTTTTAAATTTTATTTATTTATTGGTGGTTGCCAAGTCATCCCACTTTTCCAGCTCAACAATCAAGTTGACACGTCAGAGTCAATTAACAGTTGACCGGATGGAAAGTTAACAGTTAGGCTAATAATTTGTTTTTGAAAAGATTTGCCTATTATTTTGTTTAAAACGAAAAGTTTGGCTAATAAACTGTATTTACCCTATTATAAATGTTAGTCAATTTTCTGAATGGCTAGTTGGAGAATTGCGTTTGCAGGTTCACCCACGACCCAACCGTACTCATTAGCCACCCACCCACCCGACCCGCAGAAGAGTGTGGGTGGATAGCGGGTCATATTTATACCAACTCGCAAGTGAGCGGGTGAATTAATTTGAGACCAAAATCCACCCAACCCCCCATTGCCCCACCCCTATATAATTGTGGCCATGTTTTTTAAATTGTGTTTTTAACATATCCCAAAATGGATATCGTTGTCTAGATCACATAAAAACTGATTTATTGGCGCAAAAATAACTAAATTCGAAGTTGAAATGAAATAAATACGGGTCAACTAAGAATAATAGGGGATTGAAAAAGAAGAGAGGGATTGTGATAAGTGGCACATTCTAATTGGTTGCTAAAAACTTAAAAAATTAATAAAAATTAAACTACTATTTGAATTTTTATGGGTGGGAGAGGTGTGATATGGATGCTCTAGAAATTTGAAATGGTGTAGTTTTAAATGATAAAGTGTATATTATATTTTTTATATTTTTCTAATTTTGCTTGAAAGTCAAGAATTTTTAAAAACTATCGCCCACCTTTTTTTTTTACAATGGACATATATATCTAAATCCAAACTGAAAACATTGATTAATTATAGATATTTAGGTAACTAAAGAAAATCAAAATAAACCAAAGATATAAGAGAAAACCTATTGATAATTAATATAGGTAGCAATTTGATGAGTAGTAGGACAACAAAAACAAAATTGATATTACAAACTCCGTAGTCTCGTACATTTTTTCACAAAAGTTAAATAAACATCTTAAATTTTCAAAAATTTGGCCATAGAACATTACCGAATTGGTTATTTTTTGGGTTTAATTCAGATGCAGTAAAATGAGAAATGCCAAAAAGTGCATGGTGTGTTTGTAGGTTAGACTGGATTTAGATATATTGAAGTGAAAATAATAATGAAATAAAAGAATGCATGTTTAGCTGGTGTGGAGAGATTTGGAAGGATGAAAGTATGGGCTGAAATTTTTTTTAGAAAGAACTCAATTGATAGGCTTCATTTTTTTTTTTTTTTGAAAAAAGGGAGGCAAGACACCAAGGTTGCAGGAAAGCTCTAAAAAGCAAAACAAAGACAGAAGCA